GGTTTTGTCACCGCGCTTTAGTCACCGCGGTTTAGTCAGGCGCGCTTTTGTTGTGCGCGCATTTGTGGTGGAACTGGGAACCGCTACTTTAGACTATTAATCCTTAGCTCTGCTTAGTGTAGTTTATGGTATTTTTAGTCCAGAAAATGGATCCTTTCCTAATTTAGGTGCTAGCAATGTCAGTTTAGATTAGAGAATTCTAGAGATGGAAGTGTGTCTTGAGTTGGAGAAGGCTGTTTGAAGTATTAGATTGGTTATCCTAATCTCAACTTCATTTATTTTGCATTTTAAACAATTGTGTTATATCCTTTAATATTTTTTAAAAGAAAATCTGGGATAACTAAATTTATATATACACATGTATATAAATGCCTGCACACACACACATATTTCTCAACTTGAGGTCATGCAGTTGATGTTTAAATCTGCCAGAATCCATTGTGCATTTTACAGTTAGCATATGAACTCAGTTGATTTGGAGTGTGAAATAGTAGTTATGCACTAGTGGTTTCACAGTCAGATAAATGGAGTATCACAGGTTTTAGGTGAATGCACTTTTGAAATAAATACTTTTAAATTATATGAGGCATAATTCCTATATATTTATTAACCATTTGCTTATAGATGAAGTGTAGCATGATTCAAACTTTCACTTAATATTTCAAGTTATGTGGAGTTAGTGCTCTCTAAGAAATGTACCATTTTTGTATCATCATTTAGTTCTTTATCAATTTTCTTGTGATAGCCGTGTTTCCCTGAAAATAATATGGGATCTTATTTTCTTTTGGTTCACAAAATAAACACTAGGGCTTATTTTGGGGGGTTTCTTATTTCTCCCCCCCCCCCCTGTATGGGAGGCCCACCTCTTCTGTTTGTTCGTGGCGAGGCAGGAGGCCTCATAGTATACTAGTGCCACCGGTTCTCGGCAGAGTGGTGGAGCGGGTGGAGGTAAGCTGGTGTGGGGCACCTCCACCCCCCTGCTTACTTTGTGGCTGCGAGTAACCAGACAGAATGGTTGGCTAGCTGGCTGCTCTTAAATATCGCTTCTTATGTGGGTAGGGCTTACATTAGGTGCATTCATAAAAACATACTACGGCTTATTTTCAGGATAGATCTTGTTTTCAGGGAAACAGGGTAGATTTAATTTATTTTAATCTTACCTTTATTATTTTTATAAATAACTCAAGGTGGTAAATATGCCTAATATTCCTATCTCCTATTTTTCCCAAACCACAATCCTGTTAGGTAGGTTGGGCTGAGAAACAGCAACTGGCTAAAAGTCACCCAGCTAGCTTTTTTGACATTTATTTTTTGACATTTATAGAGGAAGAAATTGTTCTGTGTGATTATACATTTTCCTTATTACTACAGTGGAATGTAAGAATGAATTTATCAGATGGTGGGAGATTTGTACTTTCAAATTTGAAATATTCTCTTAATGTATCCTTACAATTCGGTGTCATAGAATCATAAGGTTAGAAAGGAATTTGGATGTCTCCTAGTCAACCCACTTGTCAGGAGTCCTCAGACCAGGCAAACTGTTGTCCCATCTTTTCAGGTAAATCTCCAATGCTGGTGCATCCACAACTCTGGGAGCTGTTTCATTGATTAATTTTTTTCACTGTCAGGAAATTCCTCCTTATTTTTGGTTGGATCTCATCCGATGAGCTTCCACCCATGAGCTTCCACCCACTGCTTCTTATCCTACCCTCAGGGGCTATGAAGAATACATTGATATCTTTTATGGCAGCTTTTCAAGTACTAGAAGACTGCTATCCTATCTCCCC